TCTGCAAAGGAGTACAATACCATTTGATCATCAAGTCTCACTGACATTTCATAGCCAATTGAAACAAATTACAAATAGATTTTGCTCTGTTAATTGGGTTGGGATATCCCCATCCTTTGTCAACAGAAGAAACTTTTGACTCATAAATTTGGATTGAATAGATCTCCACAATCTCCGCATTTTAATTTAAATGTGAAATAAATGTTTAGTTTCTGAAGAATGCTGTTTAACAAACAATTTTCTTGCTCATAGTCTTTTTATTAACATACGGTGTGCAAAAGCTTCCTGTGTTGACCTGTCAGATGTTTGTATGGTGAAGTCTACAGTTGACACAGTTGGGCTGATGCACAGATGTTTTCAGCTTTATCAGTTATCTTTGGATGACAGAGTTCAAATACAAAGCAGAAAGGTCACACAAGGTAATAATACAGTAGGGAAAATGTTCTTCTCTTTACTGTAGCATTGCACCATGAGTGATCAAAATAGGATATGAGCTGTAATGCACTGGATGATTTTAGGAAATATATTTGAAGATGTTATTAGGATCATTGGAAATTATGCTAAGTTCTTGTACTGTTTCACAGGGTGGGTTACTTAACTGCCGACTAATTTTATAGTGGGTGACAAGAACACATTTTGGAATCTGTTACAAATATGAGGTTTTCAAAAAATATTACATTTTATGATAGTGTCTTTAAATTTAGAATGAGCATAGGGAGTCATGGTTGCAGTCCATCTGATAGTAAGTTTGGATGGTTTGATTGTTGCAGATCAAAGGGGATTTAGATTGAGATAGCAACAGTCCCGGTGTAAACCAAAAGTAGACTGAGTCTCTCAAAGTCCTGGAAAGGTGTCATGGTATTGAATTGTAAACAGTGTGTGGCAAACTATTAATTTATTTTTTAAAATGTAAGTGATTTAGGATCAAAGATAAATAATTAGCATTTCCACATCAATTCAAAACTCCATGTTGAAATGGAGAACAGGGTAAAGAAAGCTATTTAAGAGATCAGCTTACCAACTCCTTTATGAATACCTGAATATAATAGACAGACAGCAGTTTGTGGTATGGTCTATGTACATCTGAGAGGTACAAAGCAGGACATAGATGCAGCCAGTCCTGTATTAGAAGCACAGAAAATGCTCATTGTATTCACAATATGGAACATGTATGGGAGCTCACACTCAGTTTCAAGACTGAGTTTACAAGGTTTTAAAAGAGACTAGTGCCTGACTTGGAGTTAAATCAAATTCCAATGTAGTGCTCATTGTGAAGTCAGTGTAGGATTAGAAACTCTCTGGCAGGGATAATTGAAAGGAAACAATTTATAGGAATGCTGAACAACTAGGGACTGTTTGCTCTAAGAACTGTATCTCCGTAGAAAATGGGATGTGTGGTTAGTATAGTGAAGAACAACTTATTTCTGTGTTTTCAATACAGTAGCTTAGAAAAATATAGTGTTTAGTCAACTGGGATTCTTTTAAAAATCATTTGTTACAGTAAGAGTTTTAAATGTGAAATATTGCCATTTTACTCTTTCATTTAACGTTGGAAGTTCTAATTTTTTTTTAAAGCTAACAGTCTTCACGGAGATCATAACAAGTCATAGACATATATTAAGGTATCAGATGTGATCCATTGGGCAGAACTATTTTTTCTAAATGAGAAGTTGTGGGTATAAGTCCCACAACAACGTCTTGAACACATAACCTAGACCAAAAAGAAAATAATGATCTTCTAAAACTGTTGCAACTACTCAACTATCTTTGTATCCATGCTGCCACTGACACTTCTATTTAATTGGCATCAACATTTCTGATATGCATGTTGTATGGCACTGTATCAAATGCCCTTTTGGAAAATACGTATACTACATTGATGATGCTACCCTCTTCCACCCTCTCTGTTACATTTTTGAAAAACTCAAACAAATAAATGAAACTCAATCTAGCTATGCCTTTATTCTTGTTGTCAATAAATTTCCGATTGCCTTCCTTAATTAATTCATACTTCCTCTAATGACTTATTTTTCTGCCCTGGATTTTTGTTAATTTTATCCTGGATTATTGTTTCTAAACGTTTTCCCACCACTAAGGTTAAGTTGACTGGGTTTACTTACTTGATTTAACATTACATCCTTTTAAAATTCACCAGTCTTCTGGCAAAAGTATTGTATCTAAGGAGCACTAGAATATTATAATTAGAGACTCTGTAATTTCCACTCTTTCTTCCCTTAGTAGCCTCAGATGCATCTGATCTAGTCCTGTGCTATCAACTTTACGTAGAGCCAGCCTTTCTAATACCTGCCCTTTATCATGTTTTAGCTCATCTTGTGTCTCAACTGTGTCCTCTTTCATCAAACTTTAGGCAGGAGTTTTTTTTTGTTAAAGACATAATCAAAGTGTACAGTATTGTCTTCTGCCTCTTGCACAGCATTCTCTTTTTGTTTCCTAATTGGGTTTTAGCATCCTTTTACCATTTTTGTGTTACAGTTTTATGCATAAAAACTTTGGGGTTTAACATCAATAGAATTGCAAATCTTCTCTCATTCTTTCCCTTTGCTGCTCTTATGTCTTTTTCATTTCTCCTCTGAGGTTGCTAAATTATTCTCAGTATTATCCACATACGTCATTCACCCCCTTGTACCGCTTCACTTTTCTGACTAAATCATGCTGGGCACTCTGGCTTTGTTTGGGATTACCTTCCTTCTATGGGAGCGTACCTCGACACCACTTGAACCATCTCCTCTTTGAGTGCAGCACGTCAATTAATTACAGTTTTACTCGCCAGTCTTTGATTTTTGTTCCCTTGAGCCAGATCTGTTCTCACACCATTGAAATAAAACAAGGAACCGCGGATGCTGGAGTTCTGAAACAAAAACAGAAATTGCTAGAAAACTCAGCAGGTCTGGCAGCATCTGTGGAAGAAAGCAAAGTTTAGATTTCAAGTCTGGTGACTCTGATGGAGAGTCTACTTTCTTCCCCAGCATACTGAATTTCTCCAGCAATTTCTGTTTTGCTCACCCCATTAAAGTTTGCCACCCCTCCCCATTTTAAATTCTAGATTGTTCATTGTCCCATTCCACAGCTAACCTAATTCTATGATACTAGGATTAATGCCTTCTGAATGTTTCCCTCCTGTCACTTGATCCACTTCTCCCACTACATTCCCATAACCCAATTCAGCCATGCTTTTTTTCCTGGTTGGACTGGAAATGTACTGATGTAGATTTCCCAGAACACACTTATGAGACACTTTCCCCACCCTGTCCTGAACGCTCTTCTATCAAGTCTGTACTAGGATACTAAAATCCCCTGTTATAATCAGTGATTTGGTAGTTTGAGGAATTACACTGACAACCAACTTAAGATTGTCAGTTGAGCTCATGGTGTGATACACTTATTCTTATATTTATTTACTCGTGGGACATGGGCCTCACTGACTGGCCAGCAGTTATTGCCTGTCACAAGCTGCCTTTGAACTGCATGGCAGAGGGCATTTGACAGTCAACCACATTGGTATGGGTCTGGAGTCACATGTAGGCCAGGCCAGGTGAGTGTGGCAGATTTCCTTCACTGAAGGACATTAGTGAGCCAGATGTGTTTTTTGTTTGACAATGGCAATGGTTTCATGGTCATCAGTAGATTCTTAATTCCTGATTTAAAAAAAAAATTGAATTCAAATTTCACCATTTGCTGTGGCAGGATTTGAACTCAGGTCCCCAGAATATTAGTTGAGTTTCTGGATTAATAGTCTAGTGGTATTACCACTAGGCAATTGTGTTCCCTGTGTACTTGCATGCACGTAGAATAATACACTGGGCCCTTTTCTTTGCAGGTAGAAAAAATGTATACACAGTTTCTTTCAACTCAACAAAATAGTGACAGCCATTGGGTCACTCACTTCTTAGGACAAGGCCCTGACCAATCAGAATCAGCCTGTCTCAACAAAGACTGGCTGTTAACTTCAATCAGCATCAATGGATAGTTCTCCATGGCAATATCTCTACCAGAGTCCACTTGCTAACTAAACTAACAAAATGAATAATTTCCCTTTGAGTGGTATTCTTACCAAATGTCCTGATGAGTGCAAGATTAAAAATGTCAACAAAATGCATCAATTTTTTCAACAATATCCTACGTATACCCTTTCACCTCCCCATAATGCCCTTTGCAAACTTGTCTCTCCATATCTTTTCCATGATTGGTTACCTGTAGAATCAACCGAGTAGTGTGACGTTATATTTAGCTCCAAGCAAGTAGATACCGATTTACTGACCGGCTTACTAATGTCCTTCAGAGAAGGAATCTGCCACCCTCACCTGGTCTAACTTACATGTGATTGCAGACTCTGCAATTTGGTTGACTCTCAACTGCCCTCTGCCCTCAGTTCAAGGACACCTAAGGACGGGCAATAAATGCTGGCCAGCCAGCGATGGCCATGTCTCACGAATGAATAAACAAATGAATGAGTGTATCACGATCAGGGATTGTCCGACAATCTTAAACTAGTTGCCAATATAATTCCTCAAAATACTAAGTATAGTGGGGGATTTTAGTTATCCTAATGTAGACCAGGATAGAAAGAGTGTTCAGGACAGGAAGGGGCAAGTCAAAATTACCTCTGTAAATGGACCAATTGTGCATTGACTCACATAAATCATTAACCTCTCTCCTAGGACAAAAGGAATAGGATTTCCATCAGTCGCAGCGGTGATGCGAGTGGAGTTGAGGATCCAATGGGATGAATGAGGAGAGCGCGGTCACTGGGAGCTTGGGGAATAGCCCTGGCTATTCCGCTGACTGCTGCCAGGGGCGGAGCTGTCACTCTCCGGATCTCGCTTACTCCTCGGAGGCCAGCTGACGCAAAGTCCTATCCCACCAATAAACAGGAGCGACGGAAGGCGCCAAGAGCATTAATCGGCTCCGACTACTGGCTGCAGCACCAGTTGCAACCTGCTCCCATCGCGGCTGCTCTGAGCGGGCAATGGGCACCCCGTTCGCCGTCATGTTGCTGCTTCTGATAGCTACCAGCGTCCTCCTCGTCCCCGGTATCACCTCCACGGCCCCGGGCCAAGACTCAAAGGCCACTCGATTCGTCTGCACCTCTGTGCCATTGGATGCAGACCCCAGCTGCCCGGTGCCAGCCGTGCCCATGCCAGTGAACACAGCCCAAGAGCAGGAGCTTCGTGCCACCGTCATGCAACTGAGGGAGACCATCCTACAGCAGAAGGAGACCCTGGGGAACCAGAAGGAGACCATCAAGGAGCTGACCAGTAAGCTGACCAGGTGCGAGAGTGCCCAGTTGGATGCCAAGTACATGGGCAGCCGCAGGAAACAGCATGTGCCTGGCAAAGACACCATGGGCGACCTGCCCCGTGATCACAGTCAAGTGGTGGATCACCTGGGCAGGACCATTCAAGCGCTGAAAAATCGACTCGGGAGTCTCGAGGTAAGACCGACAGGTAAAGGAGGGATCACTCCAGAGGGATCTTCCCGGGTTGCTAGACTCCTGTCGTCGGCCCCTCTCTCCTGGTGATATTCCGGTTCAGAAGCCGGCATGGGGTATTATGGATAGGCTGAGCAGTGCTGTCAAACCCCTGTTCTAGAGCTAGCATTACAACACCGGACCGAATGGTCTCCCCTATCAGGCGCGAAGGTGATTCGGTCCGGCAGTCAGCTGGTTTGCCCACGCAGCTAGGCCCGGGGAGCTCAGGCACGGAGAATGAATGGTCGGAGCTGTCCATGGTGCTGAATGAACCTCCCGTCCGTTCTATGGGTGCTGACCGAGCTTGCTCACATTGTGGCGGAATTGGAGACTTGAGAGGGGTGACAGAGTCCCTATAGCCTTCAGGATTGGACAGAGAACAACACAAATGGCTATAGCTCAATTATTTCAGTGGGCAGCACGTTGGATCTGTGGTTCATACCGCTGCCTTGCAGCACCAGGAACTCGGGTTCAATCCCAGCCTCGGGTGGCTGTCTAGGGAGTTCATACTTTCTGCGTGGGTTTGCTCCGGTTTCCTCCCGCAGTTCAAAGATGCGCAGGTTAGATGGATTGGTCATGCTAAATTGCTCATAATGTCCAGGGATGTGTGGGTTAGGTGATTAGCCATGGGAACTGCAGGGTTACAGGGATGGGGTGTGTCGGTGTGGACGTGTTGGACCGAATGGACTGTTTGCACACACTGTAGGGATTCTGTCAGTGTCAGAATGTAATACATGGCGCATGTGTTTTTGTATAATGAAAATAATTTGGCTTTGTGAATAGAGTGAAAACAAGAATGGGAAACAGTTACGCTCTCAGTGAGAGAAAATCTATTCACTTTCTTTGGCTGATCAAGGGTGTTTGCTTGAGCCGCTCTCCTGGGTTTTTGCCAGTGAGAGAGATGAAACTGGGTATTAACTTTGAACAAACGCATAGCGATCGGCCGAGGGATCTTTTTAAAAAAGCTGAACAGAAACTCACTCTATTTTGCATCGACATTGAAAATGCTATCACTGCAAGCTCAAGAACTACTCGTACTGTTTTCCTGGCAACACAAATCAGTCCACATGCTGTTTGAAAGTTGCGATCCAATTGATCGGACCCTGTTCTTTTCCCACAATGCTGCAGAATTTGCTACCAAGCATTAATCTAATTACAATTTGAAAGTTACAACGGTGTGTTTTGCACCATCTTTTTTCGCGCAGTGCAGTCAAAATGTCAGGTGTGATATTATCGTAATTAATGCAGCAAGCTATAGTACAGAAAACTACAGGTCAGGACATATTTACAACAGAGTCCTGCCAGAGTCTCACAGAAACCTAGCACTGGTCGACTAGCCTGAGATTAGTGCTCGCTTATGGCATTTAGGTCGCGGCAATTATTGCCATGACAATCAACAGAACAGCGTTGGTTTGAAGAGAACGGACGAATTTATGAAGTCTGTATTGATAACTTACTGGGAGTCAGTTATATGGGGTGAATATCGACAGAATTGGGGTGGTGGTGCCGGACTGCGGCAGGGTGAGGATGGGATTGCAAAATATGTCATTTATTTTCAACCGAGGCAGTTAAAAAGAATAAGGCTGATTAAAGATCAACTAGGGCGTTCCCGCATGGAGGCAGGAGCCTGCGGTACTTCGTGAATATATTGCTTCCGTCATTACTAAGAAAGAAGATGCGGTCCACGTTATGGTGAAAGAGGAGATGGCTAAGACACTTGAAGGTTTTACTATGATAAGAAGGAGGTATTGTTCAATGTCCCTGTATTTAAAGTTGACAAAGCACCAGGACAAAATGAGATGCATGCAAAGGCAAGTGAGAGTTGGAATTTTGCAGGCACTGCCCTTAATTTTCCAGCCTTCCTTAGACTGAGAGGTTGTGGTAGATGCTTGGAGAATTATAAGTGGTACAATTTTGTTCAAAAAAGGGCATAAAATAACTCAGCAACTGAAGTCAGTCAATTTAACCTTGATGGTATAGAAATTTCTGGAAGTGGCAATTTGGGACAAAATTAATAGTTGCTTGGACAAATGAGGTTTAATTAGGGAAAGCCAGTATGAGTTATTAAGGGCAAAACATGTTTAATTCATTGCTTGAATTTTTTTAAAAAAGGCAGCAGAAAGGATTAATCAGGATCATGCTGTTGATGATGTGTACACAGACTTCCAAAAACCATTTAATATGATTGTTGCATAACAGACTTGTGAGCAAAGTTATTTCTCATGGAGTGTGGGCATTACTGACTAGGCCATCATTAAATACCCTGGTGTAAGTGATGTTGAGCTATGGATACAAAATTTGTGAGTGTCAGAAAGTGAGGTGCAGTGACTGACAGTTGTTTTTTGGACTAAAGAAGGATGTATAGTGGAGATCTCCAGGATTAGCATCCCTGTTTTCCTCATAAATGTTTATGACTTAAACTTTAGAGTACAGGGCACAATTTCAAAATTTGTAGATGATACAAAACTTGGAAGTATCATGGACTTTGAGAAGGAAAGTGTAGAACTTATAATTAATATAGTCAGATAATTGGAATAGGTACAATTGGATGACATTTGATGCTGATAAGTGTGAAGTGTTTCATTTTGATTGGTAGAATCTGGGGAGACATTATAAAATAAGGGTGCAATTCTAAAAGAGAAGACCTGGATGTATATGTACATAAGTTATTAAAGGTGGCAGGAGAGGCTGAGAGAGTGGTTAATAGAGCATACATCATAATTGGATGTTATCACAGACAAAATCAAGAAAATTGTGTTTTTAGCAATGTTATGTATAAAACACTAGCTCAGCCTCAACTAGAGTATCATGTACAATTCTGGGCACCACATGAGGAAAGATGGGAGGGCATAATACAGACTGCAGAAAAGATTCAAAAGATTGCTTCCTGGGATGAGTAACTTCAGTTAGGTAGAAAGATTGGAGAAGTTGTGACTGTTCTTCATGGAGAAGAGAAAGTTGAAAGGAGGCTTGATAGAGGTATTCAAAATCATGAAGGATCTGCACAGAGTGATAGGGAGAAATTGTGGCTATTGGTGGAAAGGTCAAGAACCAATGGCCACAGATTTTAGATAATTCATAAACGAAGCAATGGAGACATGAGGAAATTGTTTTACAGAGTGGTTAAGATGTGGAAATGTAACGAAACAGATTCAATTGTGACATTCAAGGGGAAATTGGATAATTATCCAAAAAGGAAGGATGTTCAGGTTTATAGGGAGAAGGTGAATAAGTTACTCTTTCAGATAACTAATACAGGACAATGGACCAAATGGTCTTCTTCTGTAACTGTTGAATGAGTCTATGAATCAGGAAATCAATACTTCTGAATGTTGAAATATACGAATTGAATCAATAGTCTTTATTTGACTAGAATGTTGATTAATTGAAATTTCTAAATAGAAAAAAATCTATTCTAGGTTAAAGAAGAATTCTATCTTTTCAGAAATTATTATTCTGGAATTACTTAATATTAAAATCTGTTTTATTCTGTCACTTACCACCGTTCAATCTTTTGGTTCTGTTGATTCCAACTTGAAGGGATTATTGACTTTGAATCTTTTGGGGCATTAGGAACATTAATTGTTGATGCAAACTGTCCCACTCCAGGTCAATTTGTGTATCTTCATTAAATGTAAGCCAGCGCAGTCAAAGTACAAAGCATTTCAATAAATCCATGCATTATACCGGGCAAGTCAATACAATATATTCACACTTAAACAAAATAAGGTATTTGTTGTTTACAATTGAACTTGGTTGTTTGGCCTTTTCTTTTGGTTTCAGATGGTCACACTCTGACTTGAAAAAATCCCCTCAAATAGCATATTATATTGGAAAGTCTAGTAAAGAGGTCACTATCTGTTTCATCCATTGTGATAATCATATTTCCCAATGAGCCAATTAACTTGACTGCTACTAACATAAACAGTAACCTGTGTGTGTGTAATAGAATTTTTGTGTACTAAATAACATTTGCTCCATTAAGTTTTGTATGAAATGAGAAGTAGCTGATTGTAATCAGGGCCAACACATAGACTTTTCGTCTCCACATCCATTATATCAATTTTGTTTAGTTGAAAATAGACAACAATTTTTGAAGCATGCAGTGCATTCTGAACCTATTACTGCACTTATTCAATTTTAATTCAGTATTGTTTTTAATCACAAAGTAACTACTCTGACCATTATTTTATTGTATATTAGATATGGTACCGTCATGAAAATTGGACATTTTAGCAGTATGCTGTGATCAAACTCTATGCAAGGTGACTTTAAGATGGGAATCTAATCTTTATCCATGATTTCTTAAAGAAACATGGTAACATTTTTCTGGTTTAACTGAACTTAAATCACATTTACAATTTTAATTTTACATCAGCTGCACTACTTAAAACAAAAAATTACACTTCTTTTTAAATCTCCATATTAAATATAATGTTACCCATGGCAGTAATATATTTTATGGTTGATTACATAATGTACATCATCCATTCAATATAATTTTTGTGAATAGTGTATATATCATTGTATTTAATATGTATTTTGACAAAAAAAGTAAATAAACTCAATTGATAAAAGTATTTTCAAGCTTTATAGCTACAGATTTAAATAAAATAATAGATATTATTATGTAATAATCACACAATTTAGGTACAAGTTCTCCCAAGCTTAATTTAGATTTGATTAATTTGCTCTGTCGTAAAACTACATTGGGGGCAATCTTACACACTGGGCAGCTTTGCGATTGACCAGATATTCTACATTGAGAAATCTAAAAACCAAATAATGGGCAATAATACCACTTTAACAGGCTAAACATTCTATCAATGTTTTCATGCAATAGAGTATGGCTAAACTACTCGTATTCCTTCAACTGATGCTGTAGATTGAAAATTACTTAGTAGCAAACTAAACCTTAGCCTTTTCATGTCAAACTGTCTTTGCCAACTGATTTAATGATTTTTAAACAGATAATTTCCTTCATGAAAATATCAGGCAAGATAGTTTCATTAAAATGATATTAGATATTTGTGTTCTGAAATCAGACAATGTAATTTTAAGCCCTATAACAATGACAGAACTGACAAAAGGTAATATTTAAAAGAACAAAAACATTCAAACAGTCCTTGTTCCTTGATGTGAGGCTGTGCTGCAAAAGCTGGTGACTCTCAATTAGGAAGAACAGGAATGGGAGAATAACAGGAGTCAGTAATGGAACAAGTGAACTCCTAACAACAACATTCCAGAGGGACAGATCACTAAATTGAAAAATAGAATATCATGTGTTATTACAGAACCAGCTTATTCAATGGAATAACGCACACCCAGCCTACGATTATTCTTTTTGCAAAGCATTTCCCAACCGTTGCTCTATCAACAAAAACAGAGATTTTGAAAGAGTTATATGTGCAGGATGATCTGCAAAATATTAATGCCCATCCAGGAAGCTCCTGAAATATTGATATATTTTGGTATCCCGAATTCCACCCGTTAACACTGTACAGGAAAACAGTGCTGATGGAGTAAATGTTTCCTTTCCAACATTATTTAATTGCAACAATAGAAATAAATCCATTATTGTTAATAAATAGATACATCGGATGACTTCACAGGCCTCTCTCAGGATGATGACTTCGGTTTGAAAATTTATGAACTAAATAATAACTAAAATATCGAATGTATTGGTGTGTATAATGTGAATGACTAAACCATGTTTCAAAGCTTATTGGTCATGGTTTGTGTTCCTAAGACTGTGTTATATTTCTCAACAGCAGCAGACACACCCCAATTTTTCCAACCATACTTTCCCCAGTGACCTTCGTGAGCAGCTTCAGAGGAAGCTGGGGGATTTGGAAAGTCAACTGTTAAACAAAGTCTCTGAACTTGAGGATGAGAAGTATGTTCTTCTGAATGAGACAGCAGCCCATCGTTACAAGACAGAGTCTGCCCTCAATGCCTTGCATGAAAGGGTTACTGAACTAGAGAAAGGTATTGACTGAGCAAAATGATTCGAACGTTCACCATCAAGCAATGACTTTTGGTTATTTTAAAATAATGCTTATGTAGATTATTCATACTGAACCACATTCTGCCTAACATGATCAACTGAATGATTGCCCTTCCTTTTGTTTTACCTTTAACTAGTTATTCATTTACACTAAAATGCCAGTGTCAAATTCAGCTAATGCATAGTACTGCAAAACCAAACAGATGAAGTCTGTTGGATTGCTCCAAGTATTAATTGTCAAGTATTATTCACATATTAATTACATGACAAAGATAACCTTGAATATCTGTAGAATTTACTTGCAGTTTTGGCTCAGTGCTTGTATTCTTAGAACTTGTGTGTTCAAATATCACTGCAGAGACTTGAGCACATAATCTAAATTATCTAATCCAATGCAGTAGAGTCTTAAGAGTCATACAGCATGGAAACAAAAAAGATTCAAAAGTTTGCTTCCTGGGATGAGGAACCTCAGTTATGTAGAAAGACTGGAGAAGTTGTGACTGTTCTTCATGGAGAAGAGAAAGTTGAAAGGAGGCTTGATAGAGGTATTCAAAATCATGAAGGATCTGAACAGAGCAGATAGGGAGAAATTGTGGCTATTGGTGGAAAGGTCAAGAACCAGTGGTAACCGATTTTAGGTAATTCACAAAAGAAACAATGGCGACATGAGGAAATTTTTTTACGGAGTGGTTAAGATGTGGAAATGAAATGAAACAGATTCAATTGTGACATTCAAGGGGAAATAGGATAATTATCCAAAAGGAAGGATGTTCAGGTTTATAGGGAGAAGACTGTCTAATCTGATGCGGTAGAGTCATACAGCATGAAAACCGACCCTTCGGTCTAACCAGTCCCAACCTGCCTGTGCTTGGCCCATATTCCCCCAAACATTTTCTATTTATGTACTTATCTAAATGTCTTTTAAATCTTGTAACTGTATCCGCATCCATCACTTCCTCTAGAAATTCATTCCACCCACAAACCACTCTCTGTGTACAAAAATTGCTCCTCATGTATTTTTTAAATCTTTCTCCTCTCACCTTAAAAATATGACCCCTAGTCATGAAATCCCCCACCCTAGGGAAAAGATACCTGCCATCCACCTTATACCCCTCACGACTTTATAAACCTCTATAAGGTCACCTCTTAACCCCCTATCCTCCAGTGAAAAAATATTCCAGCCTATCCAGCCTTTCTTTAAAAGCATACGTTTACACAATACTTATGTAAGTACTCTTGGAAGTACCATTTTTCAGATGAAACAATAAACTGAGGTGTTGTTTGTCCATTCAGATGAGTGTAAAAAAAATCCATAAGCATTATTTAGATGAAGATGGTTTTCAATCAAGACCACAAAAAACTGCTTATTATCACAATGTTATTTGTGGGAGATAGTTGTATGCAAATTGATTGATGCCTTTCCTACATTGCAATTATCACCATACATCAAAAACTTTTCATTAATAGCAAAGTGCTTGTAGATGATTTGAGGATGTGTGAGGTATTGTGAAAATGTAAGGATTTTCTTCTATATATTCCCATTGCAACTACATATATCTCTAATCAACAAGCCTTACATTGCAGAGTGATTTCAACAGCTCAGTAGCACAATGCAGACCTGACAATGAAGTACATGATCAAGTAAACTGCTTTGCTACAAAAAAGACAATTCCTTGAATAAAGGCATCAGATAATCATGACCAACTGACTTATAAAATTATAAATTATTGTTCAGAAACTATGATTTGAAGTTATAGCGTCTGTAGAAACTAAGCTACTTCACTAGTGTCTGATATAATTGTTTAATCATTTTTTGTCCACAATAGAGAGCAGTGGCTTTAAGTCACCTGATGATTTCAAGGTGTCGCTACCTTTGCGAACTAATTACCTGTTCGCCAGGATAAAGAAGAGTCTCCCTGAAATGTATGCCTTTACAGTGTGCATGTGGATCCGCTCCAGGGCATCGTCTGGTATTGGAACACCCTTCTCTTATGCTGTGTCTGGACAAGCTAATGAAATTGTGCTAATTGAATGGGGAAAAAATCCAATTGAATTACTTATTAATGACAAGGTGTGTATCACTTATCAATGATATATTAAATGCACAATGTAACTGATCATATTATTGAGAGAACATTTAAACAGACAAAAATACATTTAAGTAATATTAACATTTTAGTCAAATATTTAATTGCTAGCTTCAAATGTTGACCAGTTTAAAAGTTAACCTTTCCATTGTTATTATCTTATGGAATAAACTGTTAACAAGCAGAAAATATTTTGACTCTAGCTGCTGTCCCTAAATCCCTCTGCTTTTCTATATAATTTTTTCACACCTTCAAAGCCTCTTCAAAACATTTACATTGCACCATATGCACCACATCCATAGTTATCTCCCTTAACTGTGTCTCCCAATTTTGTAAATTCCATCACTGGGAAATTTACTAGGTTAATGACACTAAGTTATCATGGACACTTAGATATTCCAACTGGTGAGTTAAAAATGAGATGAATGCTGTTGTAAAGCACTTTGTGTAGAAGATTGGGATTAGTTGATCTTTGCTGCTTTTTGTGTCATGATTTTGCCTTCAGAATATTGTGACCATTTGATATCAACCAATGAGCTAAATGCTTCCATTCTATCAGCTAGAATTTGTTTTAACAGCTTATTGGTTTGGCCCAATTTTGCCCTTTTCCCCCTGTATTTGGTGACTGTAAGTGAGTTGTCTGCAGCTCAGTCTTGTGCTTTGGGGAAATCAAACCCATTGTTTTTAATCCTTGCCACACACTCTGTTCCTTAGACACTAACTCCATCTCACACGCTGGTCATTATCTGAGGCTTAGCCAGACCAGTCATTCTTGCCATCTTATTTGATCCTTGTGAGCTTCTAATTCCATATCTGCTTTACTACCAGCACTGCCCATTTCTATCACTGTAATATCAACCCAGCTCATCTTAATCCAGCTGCTTGTGAAAACCTCTTCATTCTTTTGTAGCTAGATTTAATGATTCTAATATATTCCTAGCTAACATCTTATGTCCTCTGTGGAACACATTCAGAACACTGCTGTCTGCATTATAACTTAAACCATGTCCCAATTACCCAGTGTCCCTGCCTCTGCAGACCTACATTAACTCCCATTTTGGGAAACTTTTGAATTCAAAAATCTAATTCTTGTTTTCTCTACCTTCCATGGCCTTGCCCTTTCCAATTTCTATAACATATGCCATCCCCACAGCTCTCTGAGATCTTTCACACCTCCAATTCTGGCCTCTTGAACATCCCAAATTTTATATTGTTAAATTGGCAGTGGGGCTGCCATGACATCACTGGGACCCTCCTTGCCTAGTTGTCTTTACTGCCAATAAGCTAACATGCTAATTGATGATTGTACCAGGAAAACTCATTACTCCAATTTAACAGCCTCCCACCACTACTGTTTCTCCCATGTCAGGGTTATTAAAATTCCCCACATCTGCCATGATTTTCTATATTCCCCAAATCCCTAGATGAACAACTGCTCTCTGGCATCCACTTCCAGGTGTCCAATATTCTCTCTAAGATTCAAGTCCCACCGGGTCCAGAGGTGTGTAATACCATCTCTGAACAGGGATAATTAGAAAATATCTAATTAGCCAATGCAAAAATCAGCTAATACTTTTTATTTTTAAGAACCATTTAGGCAAAACAACACTAAATGTTGTGAATGTGCATGAAAACAAGCTCTTGTGTGTGTAGATCATTGACCTTATCCTAAGTATTTCATCAACAGGTTGCCCAGCTGCCAATCAATATTAATGATGGCAAATGGCATCATATTTGTATAACATGGACCACCAGGGATGGCATGTGGGAAGCTTTTCAGGATGGCCAATCACAAGGCACAGGAGAGAATCTGGCACCTTGGCATCCTATCAAAGCAGGTGGTGACTTGATCCTGGGACAGGAGCAGGTGAGTGTTACTCTGTGTCCATAATAATGATTCGCACAGTTGGGTAAAACAAACATGATGTAGCAATAAGGATCAATAGAATTAAATAAAAATTACATGCCCTTCTGAAAAAGTGTTGTTTAAATAAAGCTTTTTTAAGGAGAAAGGTTAGATTTCTTTTCTATATGCTTTGGACACTGTCAGATCCCAAATGTGCAGCATTCAACAGTACTGCACTGGAAATTTCAGATTGGATTTTTTTGTTTTAAGTCTCTGTGTGGGACTTTAATCCGTGATGCTCTGACTCAGAGGTGAGTATGCTACCTCTTCATGTAACATTATTACAGAACAATTTGAGACATAAAAGGTGGTATGTGAAATGCTTGGAAGAAACATAACTTTGAAAGTGTAGCTCCCAGAACTCTGTATGGTTTCCTCCCATTATGTAGGCTAACAGAGAGAAACTACACGAGCAACAGTCAAAATGTTGCTGTGCGTAGGAACAATGTTATCAAGCAAAAGCGAGCAAGTAGAGGTGAAACACACATTAAGTTTATTCAAGGGACTGAATGGCTATCTTATGTGTATATGAACCTAGTGACTTCATACTAGCAAATATCCCAGTGGAAACTTGTAGGTCATAGCACTAAAACAGTGCTACAGAAACTCATAGAATCATGCAACACGGAAACAGACCCTTTGGTCCAACTAATTAATGCCGAACATAATCCCAAACTAAACTAGTCCCACCTGCCTGCTCCTGGCCCATTTCCTCCAAATCTTTCCTATTCGTGTACTTATCCGAGTAACTTTTAAACATTGTAATTGTACCCATATCCACCACTTCCTCAGGAAGTTCATTCGACACATGAATCACTCTCTCTGTGCAAAAAAAAATGCCCCTCAGGTCTTTTTGAAATCTCTCTCCTCTCACCTTAAAAATGTGCCACCAGTCTTGAAATCCCCCATTCTAGCTACAATTTTTCTTTTATTCGTTCACAGGATGAGGGTGTCACTGGCCAGGTAGCATTTATTTCTCATCCCTAATTGCCCACTGGGTAGTTAAGAGTCACATTGCTATGGGTCTGGAGTCACATGTAGGCTAAACGGGGCAAGGATGGCAGTTTCCTTCCCTAAAGGACATGAGTGAACTAGTTGGGTTTTTCCCAACAATTGGCAATGGATTAAATGGGCACTTGTATTGAATGCACTGTAGTGATCATTTGTACGTGAATTTATTCTTATCTAGGACACAGTTGGAGGGAGGTTTGATGCGACACAGGCGTTTGTTGGAGAACTGAGCCACTTCAATATCTGGGACCGCATCCTCACTCCAGAAGACATCAGAAGCATGGCCAACTGTTCTGCTAACCTGGCCGGCAACATCATTCCCTGGATTGACAACAATGTGGTTGTGAATGGTGGAGCCACTAAGTTGCCACTGGAGACTTGCAAAGAGCGCTTGGTTAGTTCCTGATCACTGGTCAGGATTCACTTAAGTGCCGGTTTCTTTTCATACAGACAACTTTCTGTGATATGGTGAAACGTATATTCTTTTCCCCAGCTGAATTTGCCCTTCCTGGGAGGGAGCAATGACTGTGGTATTCTATTCTGTCTTTCAAACTAAATGATGCTGTCAGCCATATATCAGTAGGTAGCACACTCGTCAAAAGGTGATGTGTTTAGGCCCTAACCAGACACTTAAACATAAAAAATCCAAGAGAACATCCCCGGTGCAGTCTTGCAGGAGTGTTGCACATTTAGATGTGCCATTTTCAAGAGAGGGAATGAACAGAGGCCCTGGTCATTTACTTTAATGGGTGCTATAACATCTCTCAACACTATGTGAAGATGACCAGTTGAGAACTGTCCCTCCCCATTCCCTACCTATCATGTTGAATATTTATCCACCAATTAATATCACTAATAAGTAGGAAACCTGATTACTATCAAATTCCTGTTTGTGGGATCTTGTTGTGCACAAAATGGCTGATGTCCTTCCTACATTATTACAGTCACTGCAATTCAAAACAAACTTAATTGGCTACAAAGCATGTCTGGACATTTCAAGGTCACAAAAGGCACTATATAAATATGAGTTCCTTTCTTTCTGATGAGCACAACTGTCTGGGAAGATATTGCTGCCTGAAATGTTAATATTTCGAAAGCTGATTGATTTGTATTGTGTTGCACGCTTATCGCTATTGCCCAGATTTTGCAATCATCAGCAAAGATACTGACCTTGAATAAATTTGCCCACAAAGTTCAGATCTGGTTTGGATTCCCCTTTCTCAACTTAAGTTTGAATCTAACAGGAAGTCAAGGGGGTTCCTTGGTTTCCAGTCATAATGATGCTATCAAACAGAGTAGACATCCAATCACATTAAAGTATTTTCACAAACAGCAAACTAGGAAGTCAAAATACAATGATTATCCTTCACTTTTAGCTATATCTTTCAGAGGCCAAATTAAAGACTAAGAAGTACACATGGGCTTGGGTTAAATGTTTAAATATCACAAAGTTTTTTAAAAAGATCTTTAAGAACTTATGGGGTGGTTTTAAAATGAAGAAATGTGATGTTCTACAAATAAATTACTCTTCCAGGGCCAGAGAGGTTTTCCGGTGACAATTATGAACTTAGTACACCATCAAAAATCCATATAAACATCATTCATCAAGGTGTAATTTTTACAACTTTCACTGTGAAATTAATAGCAAAAGGAGCAAATTATTGTTGGTTCTGTAATGTATACTTGAGTGCAGTCTGTGGGGACTTCAACAATGCATCCTATGAGGAAGCGTGGATTACTGACAGCAACATCTGGATTTCCATGTTTAGCTGCTCACACGTAGATTCCTGGAGCTACTGTAGGTTTTAGAGGCGTAATGAAAGTGAATACTGACACTTCATTATCATTACTATCGCAAAGTCAATCTTTCTAGTATTCCCACTTCTATGTCACAGAATTCAGCTGGGGAAAAGAGGAGCTATAGAAACCTTCCCGTTGTAACATGTTCTCTGTTTTGCAGTCACTTTATCTGCTAGTAGTCACAGGGCAAATAGATAGTTCAGCCAAACAAAGTAGCACAACTTTTTCACACTATTGCTTTTATTCTTGATGATTGAGGAAAGCCAAAGCTTATTGTTTTCTTGCATTAATGTCATTTTCTGTACATATCTGATGAAATACAGAGTAAATAACCAACTGTTTTAATTAATGGGATGACAACTTGTAAACCTATTTTCATCATCTTCAACAAACAGACTTTTTTAAAATTGATCACCTGAGAATCATGGATTTAAATTAGTTTTATTCTGAATTTGAATGGCTTTATTAAATGCTTTGTGCCAAAGGTACTTTATCCAAATTTCAGATGATGTAAAGCACTTTTTTTAAAGACTGATATGCTTTAAAAATGTGAGACTAGCTTGTCTTCTGTCCTTCAGATGTGACTTGTTATACTGTTTGTGCTATTTTCAGCTCACCAAAAACACTGAAACCACAGACTCTCATTCAAAGGCCTTTCTGCTATGGTAGTAGGTGGTTTGACCTTGAAGAGCATCTTTTAGGTGTCCAGTCCTGTCCTCACATGTGCATTCTCAGTTGGAACTAGAAATTCAGGCTGACATTTCTTCATCTCCTACCCTCCTCACCCAGGATACTTGGGCTAATTCTAACATTCCCAGCTCTGTGTGCCATTAGCAAACCCAACCCAAGCTCAGCATTAAATGCAATTGTTTCTGGTCTCGACATTGTGACTTCCCTTACTGAACCCTAAAAAGGGCATGAAACTCCCTTGAAAAGGAATAGAAAAAGCAAATAATGTTAGATGCAACTTTCAGTCAAATGGGGTTGCAAAGTGAATGGAAGAATGTGGATATCATGCCTGCTAGAAACCTGTATGAAGTTAAAATGACCTGTAATTCAACAGCGTCTCTATTTGAAGATAACTGCTGTTGATTAAAGGAGGTAGTTGGCAAAAACCATGCTATTTATACTTTGTGAAATAGTGACAGAAGCAAAGAATCTCATGCTTTTAAGATGCAGATATTTCCCACCATGTAAGATAGAGGGGCTTAGAAATAGAACATTTGCTGACTGGACTTTGCTGGAGCTGATAGCAAGTGAGAGTGAAACAGTTCTTGGGTAGGAGCACAAAACAGGCAACTAACCATCAACAGGCAGCACATCACCATTTACCAGATGGAAAAACAAAGTTAGTAAGTTTGGGTAGTATTGCTGTCAGAACCATTCATTCCCACTTTTACTCCAATTGATTTACCTGACCAAGCCTGGAATGGGGTAGGCATTAAATATAATTACACAAGTAATTACAGTCAATAGGCTAATTTATTCTATAGTGTTCTCTTCCATTTCTGATGCTATTGAGATTTACAGATGACACCTTAGTGTCTATTACATAGCACTCTAGGTGCTGGGTGTTGATAGGATACTTGACCTTGTGAGTGGTCACAGCTAAAATCAGTCCAGTTCTGCATGATACCCATACATGCTCACCTTCCATTTCAAGTTACTGAGACATTATAAGGAATGGAGGCACTCACCAATTTATCCCCTTTCTCCATAACAAAGATCAATTGTGGAATTTCCAGCTGAGATTAACAGAGAATTGCCATCCTTAAAGGGAACAGCATGACCCTGGGGCAACGCATTTCTCATCGAGGAAAACAATTAGCATCAAAACATACAAGATCTGAGCTGCAAAAATCAGTCTATTTGGCTCATCATAGGTAGTAGGAACTGCAGATGCTGGAGAATCTGAGATAACAAGGTGTAGAGCTGGATGAACACAGCAGGCCAAGCAGCATCATAGGAGCAGGAAGGCTGACGTTTCGAGCCTAGAC